TCCTCCTCTCCCCCCCCCCCCGCGAGTATCGCGGGTCCCCCCTTGTCTGTATTCTAATTTGCAGCTATTCATGGGGCTTACCAACTGCATTAATGCAGTCTTCGCTGTATTTACTGCTCAGTTACTTATGCATCTTATGTACCTGAATAAAACTTGGTCTTAAAGGTGCCACTGGACTGTTTGGGGCCGGGGGGGCGGGGGGGGGCTCTGCAGCTTACCTGGCTGCTTCTTGCTCTGACGGAGGGCTGCTGGGAGCAGGGGGTGGGGCTTGTTGCCTGTGCCCGCCCCCTGGGCTCTTTACTGCCGGAGCTCCGCTCCTGTGCGCTCCTGCAAGAAATGACCCCTGCCTATATGTAATGGTTGAGGAGGTCTTGTTCCGATGTATCTGAAGATGTGTGCTTGCATACAAAAGCTTGTACACAGGGTTAAACTTTGCTGGTCTTAAAGGTGCCAACTGGACTCAAGCTCTGTTCTAAAGTTTTTTCCTGCACACGGAAGCTTATACACCAGAATTAAACTTTGCTGGTCTTAAAGGTGCCACTGGACTCAAACTCTGTTCTAAAGTTTTATTCTGCACAGGAAAGCTTATACACCGGAATTAAACTTTGTTGGTCTGAAAGGTGGCACTGGACTCAAACTGCATTCTATGTTGTTAAAGCTGTCCAATAATCTCAAGTTTGATAGGACACCAAGTATCGCATGTCTTTCAAGTTTGACTTTCCGTCCCCACCCCCCGCTTCCAAATTTCTGCAAATTTTGCCTCTCTAGCTGAGTCCGGTTGTGAATGAAGTCTTTGTGGGTGTTTTGGTCCCAGCTGCAACGGGGAGGCCATGACGACGTTAACACACCGGGGACGGCGGGCGGAGGTCGGCCGGAACGCCGACAAGCGGCCGGAAGGCGAGGAGGACTCTCCGCTAGACACGGAGCTGGGGGACGGCGACGCCGGTGACTCCAAAGACATCCGCCTGACCCTCATGGAGGAGGTCCTTCTGCTGGGCTTGAAGGATAAGGAGGTACGGAGATATCGGTGCACTTCTCACCTCCGGGCCTCTGCGCGGCCACAATTGCGTGACCTGGATAAGCTTAGAGTTCCTTGAAATCTGTCTTCTCCTGGTTTCCTTGGTTGTTAGGGAGAGCCACCCGATAAGTTCCCTAAGTTCTTCGTCTCCCTGATCTGTATGGCCCAGGCTAGCCGGATGCCTTTATATCTTCGAAGCGAAACGGGGTCAGCCCTGGCTGGTATTTGGATGGGAGGCCGCCAAGGAAGCCCAGGGTTGCTACGCAGAGGCCGGCAATGGCAAACCCACCTCTGTCCATCTCTTGCCTCCACCTGGATGGCTCAGGCTAGCCTGATTTCATCAGATCTCGGAAGCTAAGTAGGGCCAGTCCTGGTCAGTATTTGGATGGGAGGCCACCAAGGAAGCCCAGGGTTGCTACGCAGAGGCAGGCAAGGGCAAATCCACCTTTGTCCATCTCTTGCCTCCACCTGGATGGCCCAGGCTAGCCTGATCTCGTCAGATCTTGGAAGCTAAGCAGGGTCAGTCCTGGTCAGTATTTGGATGGGAGGCCGCCAAGGAAGCCCAGGGTTGCTACGCAGAGGCAGGCAAGGGCAAACCACCTCTGTTCGTCTCTTGCCTCCACCTGGATGGCCCAGGCTAGCCTGATCTCGTCAGATCTTGGAAGCTAAGCAGGGTCAGTCCTGGTCAGTATTTGGATGGGAGGCCGCCAAGGAAGCCCAGGGTTGCTACGCAGAGGCAGGCAAGGGCAAACCACCTCTGTTCGTCTCTTGCCTCCACCTGGATGGCCCAGGCTAGCCTGATCTCGTCAGATCTTGGAAGCTAAGCAGGGTCAGTCCTGGTCAGTATTTGGATGGGAGGCCGCCAAGGAAGCCCAGGGTTGCTACGCAGAGGCAGGCAAGGGCAAACCACCTCTGTTCGTCTCTTGCCTCCACCTGGATGGCCCAGGCTAGCCTGATCTCGTCAGATCTTGGAAGCTAAGCAGTGTCAGTCCTGGTCAGTATTTGGATGGGAGGCCGCCAAGGAAGCCCAGGGTTGCTACGCAGAGGCAGGCAATGGCAGGCCACCTCTGTCCATCTCTTGCCTCCAC